TAATAAGCGCAAAAATTCTATCACAGTGTTGGAAGTGGATGGGATAACTTATGAAAAATCACTCGAAATTGGAAGTCAACTGGTGAATTTCTATTAGAATCTATATCAGGAGCAATTTGAGTAGAGGCCAGAGTTGGAAGGATTGGATTTTTCTACTATCACGGAGGATGATGCCGGGTGGTTAGAGCGATCTTTTGAGGAGGTAGTGTTTAGCATGGACGAGGATAAGGCCCCTGGACCAGACGGTTTCTCGTTCTCATTTTACAAGGCTTGTTGGGAGGTGGTGCGATCGGAAATTTTGGATGTGTTTACATATTTTTTTGAATGTGGCAGGTTCCAAAAAAGTTCTAATGCTACATTTGTTGTGCTGATCCCTAAGAAACCGGGTGCGACCGACATTAAGGACTTTCACCCTATTAGCCTAGTCTGTGGGGTGTATAAGATTATTGGGAAAGTCCTGGCGAACAGATTAAAGGAGGTGCTCGGGAAAGTAGTGTCCAAGTTTCAGAATGCTTTCGTAAAAGGTCGCCGGATTTTGGACTCTGTGCTTATAGCGAATGAATGCATTGATTCAAGATTGCGGTTGGGAATTCCCGGGATGCTATGTAAGCTCGATATTCAGAAGGCATATGATCATGTGAACTGGGGGTTCCTTTTGTATATGCATAGGAGGTGTGGCTTCGAGGATAAGTGGTGTAAATGGATTCAATTCTGTATTTCTACTGTTTCGTTCTCAGTTATGGTCAACGGAATGTCGGAGGGTTATTTTCGGAGTATTAGAGGATTGCAGCAAGGAGATCCACTATCCCCATTGCTATTTGTTATTGTGATGGAGGCTTTCAGTAGGATGTTTGAAAGAGCTGTGGGAGAGGGTTTGGTAAGGGGATTTAGGGTTGGCCAATTGCAGGTGTCTCATTTGCTATTTGCAGATGACACGTTGATCTTATGTGATGCGGATGATGAACAATTCAAGAACCCTCGTTGTTTGCTCCTATGTTTTGAAGCGGTGTCTGGATTAAAAATCAATTTGGGAAAATCTAAGGTTATTCTAGTTGGGGTGGTCACTAACGTGGAGGAGTTGGCTGGCATATTGGGATGTAGGATTGCACAATTATCCATGTCATATTTAGGCCTCTCGCATTGGAGGAGATTTTACCTGGTCATCTAATCGGGACCAACCTGTTTTTTCTCGTATGGACAGATTCTTGATATGCGGAGAGTGGGAGATTAAGTATTCAGATGTCATTCAGAGAAGATTGGGGAGGGTGTACTCTGATCATTTTCCCATTACGTTAACTGGGAACAGGATAAATCCACTCTCTCAAATCTCCCCACTTACTTTTTGTCATTGTTTCCTATTTCGATTGCAGTGGCAAATAGATTTGAGAGACTTCAAAGAGAATTCTTGTGGGTAGGGTTAGGGGAGGAGAGGAAAATACATTTGGTTAATTGGGGTACTATTTGTTTGCCTATGAGGATGGGGGGACTTAAAGTGAGGAGCCTTGTTTTGTTTAATAAGGCTTTATTGGGCAAGTGGTTGTGGCGATTTGGAGTGGAGAATGAGAGCTTTTGGAGAGAAATCATTGGGGCAAAGTATGGTGTGATGGAGGGGGGTTGGTGTACGGTTTAGGGTCGTGGCTCCTATGGGTGAGCTTGTGGAGGTATATCTGACGGGGATGGAATGATTTTAGGGACAAACTAAATTTTGTGGTGAGAAATGACACTGATATTAAATTTTGGGATGACGGTGTGGCGATCAACCGTTAAAGGAGGGATTTCCTTCTTTGTACCGCATTGCGTTAGAGATTGCTGCTATGGTGGGTGATGTATTAGACATTCACAATAGGGGCTATAGTTGGAATATTACTTTTGGGAGGGGTTTACAGGATTGGGAATTGGAAGATTATTCGTTGTTTTTAACCGCTCTGCATGAGATACAAATTCGGGTATGAGATGGTGATTGTAGTAGGTGGAGGTTGGCTCGAGATGGTATTTTTTCAGTCCGCTCATACTTTCAATCCCTTTTGGGATTTGTGGAGAGTTCATTACCTTGGAAGATGGTGTGGCAAAGCAAATTGCCTCCACGGATAGCATTTCTATTGTGGACAGTTATTCGGGGGTAGGTGTCAACGGTAGAAAATATTCTACGAAAAGGATTTTATGTAATCGAGTGGTGCTATATGTGCAAGAAGGATGGAGAGACGATTGATCATTTATTCATTCATTGTGATGGTGTACGTTGGCTTTGAAACATTATTCTGGCTTCTCAATCAATGAATTGGGTGTTACCTAGGCGTATAGAATACGTGGTGCGGGCATGGAGGAGAAAATTTCGCGATAAGGATAGCAAACTTCTATGGAATCTTATCCCGAGATGCATTATATGGTGCATATGGAGAGAACGGAACGATAGATATTTCGAAGGCCAAACAAAGACAACAGAGCAGATAAGAGAATTATCTTACTTGACTTTGTATACTTGGTTTAATGCAGTGGCTAAAAATCGTGTTGTGAGGTTGCCTAATTTCATGTTGTTCCTTTCATACTTAAAATGATTGTATACCTCCCGTGTACTCTCTTTTAAGGAATAAAATT